AGAGCCATGGAAGCCTCATGTGAAGACTTGGGGGTTCTCAAGGTCTGGTTTCCATAGAGAAAGTCCAGAGATGGCTTTATTTGCCCCTTCACACTGTCTCAGGTTTTCTGGTATCTGCTGGTAGGAAAGATCCCCACCAGCTGAATATGTGGGCTGATTCTGTGGCCCTTCAGGCTTCTTTGAGGTGCAACAGGTGTTGACCCATTGCTGGCTACAGTTTGGGTGAGAAGCTTATCACACATAGAGATGCCCACAAGGAGGGGTACTCACATTCCACTGTCATTTAAAAAATATTTTCATATGCCTACCAGATTTCTAGCAGACTGTGCCAAAAAGAGAATATTCTGGAACCTTTGAATAAGTAATTAAATAAGTTGGTTCTGGAGCTTCAGAAAAGATAGGATAAAATGGAAAAAAGAAAATCTGACAACAGGGAATTTCTTCCTGAGAAAGATTCTCATTCAGAGATGAGACAGAATACAGTATACTTTTCCACAATGATTGATGGAAAACAGTGAGAAATGTATTTTAGAGTGATTACATTATGTTTTAAGGAACAAAGAACTTTTTATACAAATATTTTAGGAACAGGGGCAGGGGATATGGCTCAATGGAATAAGTGCTTCCCAGGCAAACGCAAGGGCCTGAGTTCTATCCCCGGTTCCGCAAAAAAAGAAAAAAAAAAAAAAATGGGCCAGGGAGAAGGCTCAGTAAAATAAGCGCTTGCCTGGCAAGCATAGGGCCTGAGTTCAATCCACAGTTCTGGGGGTGGGGAGGAATTAAAAAAAAAAAAAAAAAAAAAAAAAAAATATATATATATATATATATATATTTAGGAACATTGAACCTATAAGAGGACAAGGGATATAGCTCAGCTGCACTAGGTAATGAGGTCATGAGTTCCATTTCTGGTACAAAAAAAGAAAAATTATAGGAAAAGAGAAAAAACACGTTAAAATTTCACCTCAGAAAGCGGTTGAGCAATTTTTAAGTATATTTATTTTTTAGAAACCTTACAGCTTGGTGTGGTAACACTCATCTGTAATCCCAGCACGGAGGAGGATCACTGCAAGCTCAAGGCCACCCTGGGCTACATGATGAGCCCAAGGTCAGCCTGAATTTTATAGTGAAATGCTGTCTCAAAAACCAGAAAATAAAAGGAACTTTACATAATTTATTTATAATTGACATATTATATTTGGTTATGTGTAAATACAAAGATGATCCAGTTTACTTAAGACTCATTTTATGTGCCAGCAATTACACACTTAGGACAGATTGGTACAATAGCAGTTTCCTGATTTGGGAATTATGCATTGGAATTTACATCTCTACTGCTCCTTGTAAATTACAAGTTTATCTGTGGTGTGTGAGTGTATGTTTGTGCTGTGTGTTGGGATTAGGATAAGAACATAATGAAGTTAGCACACAGTTCCCAACACATGGTAAGTATTCAGTAAATATCTGTTATCAGTTGCTGTCCACATAATGCTGCAGTAATTTAGAGCTTATAGATTTCTCAGTGTAAGCTTCTAGAACTGAGGTATAGTGTGCCTTCTTGAAAGGTGTGAATATTTAAGCAATTTTTCATTTCTTGTAAATTTCAGTTCCTGATGGATCATTTTTTTTCCTCCTCATCTCTTCTTTCCTTCTTTCTTTCTGGGGGAAGTGGTTTGAGGCAGGTTCTCACTGTGTAGTTTGGACTGACCTTGCTCCGGCTGGCCTCAAAGTCATGGCGATTCTCCTTTCCCAGCCTCCCGAGTGTTGGGATAACAGAACACACACCATCACACCTGGCCCCTGGCCCCTCTTCTCTTCTGAGCATTTCTGGGTGCAAAGTAAGAAGTGATTAGTGTCATTGTGCTACTTTACATTTTGGCTTTTGGTTATTTTACCACCATGTTGGCCAGTTGATATGACAGTGCCCTCTGTGTAGGCCTGTTCTCCTTGCCCCAGCATCTCCCAAAGCATCCTTTGTCGATTCTGTTTTCCCTTTCCAACACTGGCTGCCAGCAGGCTTGCTCTTTGCTTCTGGGGTGGTCTCCCTCTTCTTTCCTGTGCAAATGAGCAAAGGCAGTAGTACACTGGTGAGAAGAACCCCTTAAGGCTGTTTGTGCCCAGTCCACCAACTGTTTGGGCCCCAGCATTTCTGCTCTTGGGCTTGGTCACTCCGAATCTAGAAATTTTCCACTTTGAAGTATGGTCTGTGATTGAAGACAAGCACATGGAACATACTTATACAAGGAAGTTACTGTCTGCGCCAGGGATGTCTGGCGGTGCATTTTATATAACCATCAGTGGTCTTCCTGTGGTTCAGGCACTGGGCTAAGGACTTCCTATTTGCTCAGAAGTTTTTATATCTTCTCTGAGAAAAATTTCACTTACCATTGCAAGTTCAAGGCCAGAACTGCATAGCAAAACTCTATCTGAAAAAGACCTAAAAATATTTTTTTAAAAAGATATATTGATCTCATCTTCTTTAACTGACCTCATTTATTTTTTAGTATATCTTTACAGTACATGAAGCTTGCATCTATCTTAGGGAGCAGGTGCAGGAGCTTAGCATACCTTGGTTTTGTTTTATTGTCCCTCCCACCCACCTACCCATTTGTTCTTGCAGTTATTTAGTAAATTCCTTAGGATGCTCTGTGTAGGAGATTGTAGCATTTGCAGGTAGAAGTAGTTGGACTTATTCCTGGCCAGGCTGTCTGTCATTTAGTTCTTTCTCTTGCCTGTTTGTCCTGAGCACACCTGCAGTACAATGCTAAATTGAAGTGAAGTGTGTGGACACTTTTGTCTTCTAACAGAAAGCATTCAGCCTTTCTTTATTAAATAAGATGTTGTGGGCATTTTCATAAATGCCCTTTATCCAGTTGTAAGAAGTTCCTTTCTAGTCACAGTTTGTTGCATGTTTTTATTAAGAAAATACATAGGATTTGGTCAAATGATGCCTTTTTTTCATCTGTGGTCAAATTTGTTTTTGTTCTTTGTTCCATGTGTTCCAACCTTTTTGCAAGATAAGTATCACCAGGTTATAGTGTGTAATAATTTTCAAACGTTGATGGATTTGGTTTCCTGTATTTTGTTAAAGGATTTGTGTGAACATGTTTTCTTGTATCTTTATCGTCATTTTATAAGACTGGCCTCAAAGAATGACGTGAGAGGTATTTTCTTCTTTGTTTTTGAAAAAGTTTTGTGACAAGTTGGTATTAATTCTTTAAATGGTTAAACTGATCAGTGAAGTCATCTGGAATTTTCTCTCTAGATAGGTTTTGATTTGGTGGGGTGTCTTTTTGAGATAGGGTCTCCATGTGCAGATCAGACTGGCCTTGAGCTTATTTTATAGCCCAGGCTGACCTCAGACTCTGATCCTTCTGCCTCAGCCTTCCGAGTGCTAGGATTATAGGTGTGTGTCACCAGACCCAGCTTGATAGTTTTTAAATGACTAACATTTTACTTATTGTTGGTCTTTCCAAATTTTCTATTTCTTCTCAAAGTCATATGTGTCTTCTCAACGATTTTGACCATTTTGTTTAAGTGACCAATTTGTGTGACATTACAGGTGCTCATAGTGCTCCCCCCATCCATTCTACTCCATAAATTCAGTGGTAATTCCCTGTCTTCCATTCCTAATTTTAGTAATTTGATTCTTCTCTTTTGTTCCTTAGTGAATCAGGCTAATAAATGTGCATCAATTTTATTGATCTTCTCAAAGGATCTGTTTGCCTTCATTGATTTTACTGTTGTTCTGTTCTATTCTGTTAATTTTCTATACTAAACATTATTCCCTAGCTATACTTGCTTTAAAGTTTTCTTTTTCCGCTTTTGTACAAGATTGGATTGTTGATTTGAAAACCAAGATTTCTTTTTTTTAATACTGGCATTTATAGCTGCATATTATACTATATCCTGTCAATTTTTGTTCTCTCTGTCTCTCTGTCTGTGTCTCTGTGTCTCTGTGTCTCTTTCTCTGTCTCTGTCTCTCTCTGTCTCTTTCTCTGTCTCTGTCTCTGTCTCTGTCTCTGTGTCTCTCTGGGCTAGAAACTGAACTCAGGGCCTTTTACCACAACCTGAATTAAGCAGGTGCTCTACCACAACCTGAATCCCTAATCCTGGTTTTTTGTTTTGCTTTGTTTTTTGAGATAGGGTCTTGCTGTGTAATTTAGGCTAGCCTTGAGCTCAATAAA